TCAGTCAAGTGAGGCACAGGTGAGACAGCAAAGGAACCAAATGCCCCTGGGCAGTTTGGGGACACACCAGGACACTTTAAATTGCTTTTTCTCCCTGCATTGTACCCATCTCAATTCTCCAAACCAAAAGGATGAAAGATTATCTCCTCTTAAAAAGCCATTTAAGCTCAGGTGTTCTCGACATGAACACTAAATTTAGAAAACCATATTTGGCCCCAGCACAGGTGCTCAGATTTGCTGTGGCTGCCCCTGGATCCCCTGAAATGTCCAAGGCCAGGCTGGACACTGAGGCTTGGAGCAGCCTGGGACAGTGGAAGGTGTCCCTACCCATGGCAGGGGGTGGAATGGGATGATCAAGTTCCCTTCCAACCCAAATCATCCAGGATTTTATGATTCTATGATTTATTGTTGATAAGATAAAAAAAACCAATTTCCGTGCTCCTCAGAAGTTGTTTCCTATAATTATTTTGCTAGGTAGGAAGAGTGCCCAGCAGGGCCTGGGGACATCCAGGTTACCAACATTCTCAGTGCAAGAGAAAACCTATATTAAAGGCACCTCGGATTTCCTGGGAATTGGTCATTTCACCACTCGTTATGTTCTGCAGAAGAATTTTCCCTTCCTCCAAGTGTCCAGTTACCACACTGACCATGACCTGGCTGAACTGGTGGACCCCAACTGGCCAGCTCCAGGCCCTAAGTGGCTCTACTCTGTGCCCTGGGGGTTCAGAAGGTTACTCAACTTCATTAAGGTGAGTAAAGCTGATCTTTAATTATAAAGGAAGCAAACAAAATGCCTGGTTTAGTTTTAGATTTTCAACAGTTCCAGCTATTGGTCTTGTCATTGTGGGAATTTTCTTTGTCAAAGAACCTGTAATTTCAGCTCAGAAAACTACAGGATTCAGTCATTTTAAAATAAACCCCATAGTTAACTTAACTTAAATTCCTACTACACATTTGCTTTTAATGCACTTTGCTAATTCACATATTCTGTCAAAATAAAAGGATTTGATGTGAGCCAATTTAAACATTTCTATTTGCAGACCCAGTATGGGAACCCCCTGATTTATGTGACAGAGAATGGAGTGTCTGAAACACTGCAGTGCCCTCAGCTGTGTGATGAGTGGAGGATCCAGTACCTGAAGGGATACATCAACGAGATACTCAAAGGTCAATTAAAAACAGCTCTGTAGGATTTAACTTTTGGGGTGTTTTCACCTTCTGCTGATTTTTCACTTTGTCATTTCCATCACAGAAAAATAACTATTCACAAGTCAATATGGACAGCAAACCACTCTCAAATTTTCACCCAAATGTCAACCTAAGCAAACATATTAATACTAAAAAGTACAATAACCTGAGATTTAATACTGCAATAAATCAGTTTCCATTTGCAGAAAGAAGAAATTGCTATGCCCATAGAGCTCCAGTACTTTTAAGCTAAAGACAACAATTTCAAAGAATCTAAATTAATTTGTACATCATTTTTGTGTCCTCCTCCCCCATCTCTTCCTGCTATAAACCAAAACATTTACAGAACCGTATTTTAAGGACAAAACCCACCTTTATCAGTGATTTGTGTTCTGTTTCCAGCTCTCAATGATGGTGTAAATGTCAAAGGTTACACTGCCTGGTCACTGCTGGATAAATTTGAATGGAACAAAGGCTTCTCTGAAAGATTTGGGCTTTATCACATTGACTTCAAAAACAAGAATAAACCACGGTACCCAAAGGCATCTGTTGACTACTACAAAAAGATCATCAGTGCAAATGGATTCCCAAATCAAAGAGAGGTGATGGCAGCTGCTAATTTTGATTTTTTTTTTCCCCTTTTTCTTTGATTTATGTGCAAATATCACATTGAATTTCAGGAAACAACTTGTATGAATATGGTACAGAAGGGACACTTTGGTTCTGTAAATTAGGGATCTGTTTAATACAGAGATATTCAGACACTGAAAGTGGGAAACAGCCTCAATTACTGTTCCTAAAGCATTCCACAAATTCCAGCTGTTATTTACAGCTGGACTTACTGATGCAATTAAAAATTCTCCATCAGAAGTTATTTAGCAGTGCTGTCAGATTTCTAGGCAGAAAACTCCACATATGTACTACCCTACTGGAAAATAACCTGAAATGTATTATGTGCTGTTAAAAAATGTTATTAAACAATTAACTCAGAGAAATACACTGCAATAAAACTCACAAAGAAACTTGCAGAAAATCATGTTTTGGTAGAATAAAGTGGTTTCAGGTTAATAGTAGGGACAGGGGAAGGAGCTGTGGGAGTGAGGAGGATGCTGCAGTCTCACAGAGCTGTCACCCTTTCCCAGGTGGAAAACTGGCATCAGAAGGCCATGGACACCTGCTCTGCCACACACCAACACCTTGCTGCAGGTAATGATGGCTCTGCTTTCTTCTAGAAAAGCAAATTCTGTAAAGTTCACAGATTAAATTGCTCTCTGAATACTGCTAAAAGCTGTTTTCTTCCCAAAAGCCTTACAAGCCTCTAAAGAAAAATGTCTTTATTTACTGTCTCCAACTAAAAGCATTGTAGCTAAATGGATCAGCTGTGGATGTTACTGAAATACAGGAACTGGAAGAGCAACTACTTCAAACTGAGGTTGGGGATGACTTTAAGCATTCTCTTTAAAATAAAACTGCTGAATGCTTTTTCAAACACAAACCAAACCCTGACAAATCAAGACAACCCCACAAAAAATGTCTAAATGTTTGAATTTTATATCAAGTGGAACTATAAAAATAAATAAAAGGGCTAAGGACTGGCCTAAGATTAAATTTGGGCTCTGATGCTCCTGGTAACAAAGGAACTCCAACACAACCGATCCAGAACACCTAAAAAACCTTCTGGTGTAAATCAGAACCTTTCAGAATTCCTGGAGTAGGAATTTATAAAGAAAGATGAAATAATCACTATAGATTCTTACAAGAGAATGAACTAAATTCCACATGGTAGGAAACATCCCAGCACTCAGCCTAAATTAATCCTGCTCAGCCTCCACTTCCAAGTCATGTTCAGAATGAATGAACTGGATTTACTGAACTATTCCAGGCTTCTCTGTGGAATAAAGTTTTACAAAATAAAACCCATTCAATTTTTCAAACAGATACAGAACAATCATAAAAAGATTAGAGCTTTTCTTTCACCTTGGTGTGAGGGGAATAAAAATCAAAGGACCAGTAAAATATTGTTAATGCACTGCAGCTAATTCATAGCAAAGAGAATTCCTGCAGCCCTTTGAGCACTGGCATGTCTTCAGAAATTTAACTTGAAAAAAGAGAGGGAAAACTCTCATGGATTTGCTCCAGCTTTGGCAGATTTAGGAAATTCTGTTTGCTTGCTTTGCTGTTTAAGCCAATGTCAACATTTTTATGTTCAAAAAAAATCTTGATGTTAACTCTAAGTTAGGTATTACTGTACTCCAGAGGATTAGATCTCTTACATATTCCTCATTTCTCAAATTTTAGATTCCCTGATTACTCACATGGAAATGGTGACAGAGATTGTTCTTCCTACAGTTTTCACACTCTGCATTCTCATCAGTATTGTCCTCCTCATATTCTACCTTCGAAACCACAGCTAAAATTGATGTTTGCACACATGTTCCAACCTACAACTGTTTTATTTGAGTGGTTAAAATTTACCACGGATGTCTCTTTTTATAGCCCTGTAATGAAGAATTATTTACCATTCCACCTAGAGCTTTTATAATTCTTCTATTCAATTCCCAAAACATCTTTTTGGTTTTACCAAAATACAAAATACATTCTCTTTCCACCAATTCTAAGTAGTAGATTTTACAATTCTTATTATTTTGGAAACTATAACACATTTTGTTCATCAGAAAAATAGTTAAGAGTAAAGTGATTCAAATCTTGCCAGTACAAATTTTCAGTGATTAAAAGCTGCTTGCAAATTCTGATTTCAGTCTGTTCATCAACAGCATTTTGATTACCATGTAATTGCTATTTGAAGAAAGAAATTATTTTAAAATGTAAAAGGACTTAAATATGAACTTATTCCTGTCTAAAATTTAAGATAATATATACCTTGTATTTAGGTGTGGAGAAGAGTTGTTTGAAGTGAGTAATCCGAGGTGACAACTTCTGAATCAGATTTAAACCACATCTCTACAGTTTGCTTTACAGGAACATGACTTACCTTACACAATTCTGATATATTACACACAAAAATATGGATTTTAAGTAATCTTAAATCACTTCCAAAATTAATAGTCCACCTTAAATTCCCTTCTACTGCAGGTAGAAACAAGTACTATAAAAACCTGGTTCCACAATTCAGCTGGCTGTACTTGAAACCAGAAGTTGTAAAAATCTGTAATAATCATCTCTAATTTATAGTTTCTAAAAGCATGAATATTGGAGGTTTTCCTTATTCTTACTTACCCATAGTTAAGATTTTCATGCAAAATATTTGTCTCAGATTATTTAGTCAGCATGTACAAAACTATGGAATTATTTAAATTAGGCCACCAAAATGTTACCTCACTGATGAATCAACATAACACATGCAATTGCCAAAATATTTAAATTATTATGTCCAGCCAATTATACTACTTTTGTTTTTCAAAAAAATATACATAACATACAAGAAAACACTGTTAAAATAACTCACTTCACATTGAAGGAATAAAATAATTTGAAGAGGAGAGAGAAGTATTTCCAAGAATACTCCAAAATATAAATTCAGGGACAAAGAAACCCAAAGTAGCTGAAGATCCCAAGGCCTTGGATGAAGTGAAGAGCTTTCCAAATCCTTCAGGATGATGAAGCATCACTTGATCCCAGGAGAACATGACAATATTGTTTGGTTTGTTGGCTAAGATAATTCACACTTTGAACAGTGTCTGATTGCATTTTTAATGATCAAAAAATAAAATATAAAACCCCAAAGTGCACAACTTTGTTGAATGCCTGTAAATATATGAAAAATATCCACCATTATTTACAAAATATTTATACTGTACAGTCATAATTGCACTACATTTTTAAAAATTAGGTGCTACAGGTGAATTGTGGCTGTGGAGGTTCCACTTAAGTGTAATAAAGCAAATAAATCAATGAATATGAACTGTTTGAAGCCCAGAGTGTTTCTAAAAGTTCTGTTGGGACAGAAAACACTGAATTTTCCCCCTTTTTTTGACCTTTCCAGTCCTGCCTGCTCAGCAACATCAACCTAAGTGAACTGCACCTGACTGCACTGAGTCATGGTAATAAAATACAGCCTCTCTTCACTGCTTCCATTTACTGTGGAGTCAGAAAAGAAACCTGCAAAGACAAAGAGAAAAGTTGGGATTAGGAGCAGTTTCCAGAACTGTTTTACTGAAGCACTTCATGACAAAAATCAATAATGACAGGAAAGATTCACCAAATCCTCACATCAAACCTCATTCCAAAAAGGAAAATATTTCTGTACCAGTCTCTCTGCTTAATTCTTCCCCATTCTGATGCTTTTCCACTTGTTCTACATTTGCTTGCAGCAAGGAAGATTTTCTCCCTTTGCACTTTCTCTGATTTGAGACCAGCATTAACAACAGGGAAATTTATCTTCAAAACTCTTCTCAGATTCACTGGCAAACATTTTAGAAATAAGGTGCAAGATTTTTTGTGCATCAATCATCTCATATTTGGAACTATTGTCATTTTAACTCTAAAAATATAACTCAGCCAAGGTGAGAAAACAAAAAGTCATCACTTTCTGAATATCCTTAATTCTATAAATACCACCTCACTCTTTTAAGTAGTTGACAAAATATCATTTTGCTTTTGCTGAAAAGTAAATATAAAGCTCAGACCCACTGAACTCAGGATAAAAACTGAATTTGTTTGAAGTTTGTGCTTTGATTATTTCATTTCACACCAACATTCCCCACCTGAATTATTTGCTGTGCCATGTTCAACTGGAGCACTGGTACTGACTTGCCACGTTGTTTTAACCTCCTTCTGTCCATGCCCACTACTTATCTCCACCTTCCAGACTTCAGGGTTATCACTGAGAATAATCAAAAACCATCAAAACTGAGTCAGGTACTCAGTCACATCTGAATTTTATGCTGCAAACACTGAAGTTTCTCTTACTTTTGATAGAATTTCTTCACCAGAGCTGGTGTGATGGGCAGCTGAAACACGTGCTTCTCATTCAGAGGGTTCTCCTTGTAATACTTCATGCAAATCCTAAAAGAGATATCAGGTTACTTTCCTTAAAGAAATGCTTCTACAACAGAGCATAAACCTTGTGCAAAATAAACTATACTCTCACATTTTATTATTTCCTTTAGTTTTCAGTTTTAGTTCCAAAGCAAAATTTGGCAGGAAGATCCAACTGCTCCTTCTGCAGTTTCACTATCACCAACATTAAGGTGTTTCTTAAAAACACCAAACAACAAACTCTATTTGTGATTCCCATTTAAAGAGCAGAAGTAAAAATAAAAATGAAATAATTACTGTGTCAAAGGGAAGAGGTTCTCATGTCTGAACTGCAGTAAGCCTGTACAGCTGACCATGATTTCCAGCATGTGGTGAAGCTTTTGAACACGCTGGACTTGTTCCTGCAGATCCACGGATGTGGAAATGAAGTAATCCTGGAAGAGCAAGAGCCTCTGCTCTTACCTGAGCACTCAGGTGTGCTACAGACACACAAAACACCCTCAGTAAATAAAATCATCTTCCTTCCAAGGATTTTAGAGTGGCCCAGCAGACTCAGAACAAAGCCCCATCAAAGTGTGACAAAGGTTCACTGCCTTGACAGTGACCTAGATGAGACATCAAGGGAATTATCTGGGAATAAGGAAACAAAACAATGACATTTCTGCAGTGTGCTGTTCCAGCCTCATAATTTGCAGCTCAGTTTCTCAGCTTATATGATTTGCATCCCACCATCAGCTAAGCATGCTCTGCTTTATAAAATAAAAATCAAGCATCTCACCAAGTAGGTTACTGTTGCAAGTTCCTGGCCTGTAAAAGGAACAGCAGGAAAAAATAATTAAAATTTAATACATGTTATTAGATCAAATACAAGCAACATTCAGATGATCAAACAGGAAATTCTATGAAAGTACAAAGTCAGCAGGAATGTGAAGTTATTTATTGACATGATAATTCACTCCAAACAAGAAAACCCCTCTAAAGTGGTATTGTCAAGGAATTATTTTATTTATCACCAAGGTTGCACAATGAAGAAACCCACCCTGTACTTGGGGACAACCACCCTCCTCAGGACATACAAGTTTACCAAAGTAGTGTAAATAAAAAAGCAAATAAGCAGAAAATGAAAACAGGATGACAGATGCAATAAGAAATGAAGGGGTAACAACAGTGGTAAAACACAAAGCTATGCTCCTTTTGAAACAAATAAGTTTTGAAAATTTTGAAATTTAAAACCTGAAAAAAGTTCCATTATTAAGGAAGTTGGAAACTTCAGCACTTCAGCAGATGGGAAGGAAGGGAGATGGGAGGTTACCCAAAAAGTTCATTATTTCCTGCATGGAATACTTTTTCTCTTGAATTCCTAATGCTGTTACCAAGTGCCAGGCTCACCTATGAAAAAACTGACATAATCCTTCTTCATCTTCTCCAAGCCAATCTCCAGGAGCATCTGAATGGGAGTGATGTCACTGAGGGAAACATCCTCCATCTTTCCATGGTAGGACTGCTGGATCAATTGACTTAAGAAACTGCTACTCCCTTGATGAATCTAAAAATAAATAAGTTTTTGTGATGGAACTGTGCATGAAACATCATCAACATTGCTCACAAGTTCAACACCAGGGAAACAATTTAAAAACATAAATGAGGGGCAGGGAAGGGACAAGAACTGCATTTTACTTGAAACTATCCCAAATTTCAACATTTATTGTGAAATACAAATACATACCCATGGTTGTATCTCACCATGTTCCAGGGATTTTATGACCAGTGTGAAACAGTCTATTAACTCCTGATAGGAACTGACACCTGGAAAGAAAAACCCAATATTTTAATTATCAATCCAGGCTCTTTCTCTGGCTGTTAAGTCAATAACAACGGGCCAACACACCCTTGCATGAACAAAACCCCTCAATTAAAGAATGAGAGCTGAAATTAAAGACTGCACAGCTTTTTGGCAGCTTTGTCATACGATGATTTTAAAAAAGGTTACTCTAAAAAAACAATGATCAACAGAGACCACTGAACTCTATATACACTGAAAACTGTCCTTCAGATCTAGAGAAAAAGGAATTATAAAGTTTTCAGTTTTAGAGCAGATGGGTTTTAGCTTTAGAGCAACTACCAATGGTTAAGTACCTTCTGCAGTCAAATAAAATGAAATTCTCTCCTGCTAGATGCTGGTCTGCCATTGGAAGGTTGTAAGAAAATTCATCATCCTACATCCCTAAAATGGGCTCTTTTAGGAAAAGACTTCTGATACAATTTTTCTGAAGAGCTGATGAGTCCTTAAAACTCAGAAATGGACAGGAATTTCCGTGAAAAGACAACACTGTCTAGCAGATAAAGAAAATGAAAGGGAAACAGATGGGGCACAATACACTTACTTTTCATCTTGCACCATAATTGCTCAGTAAAATCCAGGTCTCCTCGCTCACCAAAGATTGATTTTATGCAACTGTCCACAGCATCTGTGTCACACTTGATTTTCTGGAAGAATGTATTGGTCTTCAGTGAAAAATAGTGCCTGGCAGTCAAAAACCTTCCACATCTGAATTTCTCCAGAGATTAAAACTTGGCTGCATCCCTGATTTTCACCCTTTTCCAGGGAAATTGGTAATTTCCCAATTTGAAAGTATATTTTTATTTAAAAGTGAGTCTGATTCTTTGAAGAATTATCATCACACTGGATAACTGCTAGCCTTAGAGCAGAAACAAAAGGCACTGTCAGACACTTCAGATTTCAGCCAGGTATTGTCTGTGTACCCAGCAGTGCCTGGGAGGCCAAAATCCAGACACACAAATTCTCAGAGCAGAGAAATACTTCCCTAAAATCCTGATACAGAATAGTTCTGTTGACTCAAAAATCAATATATTCTTAGATTATCAACAAAATTCTGCTTCTCTCTTAATAGAAAATAGACCTAAACCTTTCCTTGTAGGCTGAGAGGGGGGAAAAATCTTAATATAACCAAACACATTTTTTATAATTTGAATTTGCCTACTGCTTCACAGTATCATAAATCTCTAGATAAAGAGGACACATATTCAGCTGATCACTAAATTAGGCAAGAAAAGCAAATTAATGCTAGAATGCAATGGCACAAAGGTCAGAATTTCCAGAAGAAATCAGACCTTCTCCCATTATTTTTACACAGCACATAGAAAGCAAGAGATCCACGTTCCTTTACATTACTATTTACATAAAAATAATACACAAGATTTAGTCAAAATCTGAAATAACTGCAGTTAAAAGGGATGCAAAATGACAAAGCAGCTGTTAGAAAATTGCACACACCTCTGTTTCATTCTTGTTTCCAAATATATAATCTCCATCCAGCTTCTTCTTTAAATCTAGTAGAGTAAAAAAAATAAGTTCCACTGCTATGAAAAGTGTCATCAAACCAATCATTAATCCCCAGGCACATTACAACTAACAAATACACTGAATAATAAAATTGATTCATTTAAAAATGGTTTATTGGGTAAGGATATAGTCTGAAAAGACTTTTAGGAAATGTTTTTTATTATTATTACTTTGATCATGACGCTAGGACAAAGAAAAATTGCAAATATGTATGAACCTATTTAACTACACTGTGCAGTGGTTACAGCACAGAAATGAACATTTCCAGTTCTGATGCTTTAGAAGTTGTGTGTGGAATTCTCTGTTACTCCTGTGAAGTGTCACATCCCTCCCTCCCCATGGAACAAGCAGCATTTACCAGTCAGAAATTCCTGGACCAGTTTAAGAGCTGATTCAGACTCTGATGGCTCAGGCCACTCAGTCACACCCGTCCTCAGACCTTCAGCCAAAGCCTAAAGGCAGCAGGAAAATCACAACAGAATTCAGCTCTTCTTGGGAGTCCTGCATGTACCATCTGTCACAGATAACTTCACCAAGAATCACCAATCTCTTCACAGCTAACCAGCTGTTACAAATTCTCAGAATTTCCTGGATGATTTGTCCTCTTTGTACTAAAGATTTCTAAAACTGAACCCCAAATTTCAGCTAAAATAAACCCTTGAAGTTATCTGTGAAACATCTGATGAAGTTTTCAATAAAGCAGATTATTAGCACACAAAATCCCCATTCCATGCAAAATGAAATTGGAATTTCTCCCCTGCACTCACCAGGAGGAACTGCAGCTCTCGGTACAGCTGGAACACAGGACTTCGGGGGTCCCCTGACTCCAGGGCAATATTCTGAAAATTCCACAACTTTATCTCAGTTTCAAACTTTAGAAATCAAGTGCCCTAAAATTTTAATCAGTGAGAAGCATGACAGCACAACTTATAATTCAGCTTATGAACAGGTGACATTGCTTTTATCTTCCATCCTTTCTACTGCTCATGATGTGAATTGTGCCAAGAGCTTGGGTTTATTTTGCTTTTTCCATCCTGACTTACCAGGGTGGCAGCAGAGATCAGTGGGGGAGTCTCCAGAATCTTTTCCACACCATTCCATGTGATATCCACACAGATGTTGCTTCCAGATTCTGCAATGGTGTCCTCTATTGCAGCAGCTGCAATCAGCTCATACTGAGCAAATCCTTTTGTTGTCACCTAAAATTAACAATTTCCAAAAATAAAAAACAACAAAAATACCAAGGGCAAAGTAACTTTAAAAACATTTCACAAACACATAAAAAAGGGTTAATACCACACAAATGCACTATAAACATGACCTGAAATCAGAGTGTTATACTATAGAATTATACTGAGTTTCCATAAAGGATTTAAAAAGCTTCCCAAAACCAGCATCATAAATCCCAAAATTTTTAAGTTTTAAAACTTCAACTGAAGCCACAACAGAGAGTAAAAACTTACAACAGATGAATGATGTCTTATTTTATGTTCCATTTTGAGCTCTTCCAGGTTTGCAAAGCGGGTTTTATCAGCTGTAGGACCTAGGAAAGGAAAAAAGAAAGAATCAAAAACCTCATTTGACACAATTCAATTTTTGCACTTCAAATTCATTCCCAAAGACTCCATTTGGTGAAGCACGACTCGTGCTGTCCTTTAGAGAGCTGGAATTCTCCCTGCATTGCTGCTATTGATTATAAGAGCTGATATGAACATAAATAAATGTTTAGAATGAGTCAGAGGTTGTGTGAGATGCTGAATGGCAGCAGTTTAAGTTTCCTGTTGTTGCACCTGAGTTGAGGTAGGCCTGCACAGCTACAGGTGCATCAAAATTAAAAAGCCATTTCCCCACACAACATTGGTTAGAAACAACTTTTCTTTTATTTTAACCCCTTCTTATTCATTAAAACCAGCAATAAAGAGCATTTCCAAGCCAATATCACACAAAGAACAAAGACAGCATTGTGACATCAGCATTCCCACATTTTTTAGCCCGCCTCATTTAATTTTCTGTGCACCATGGTCACCTTACCATCACATGAAACGGTGTAAATATTGAGTCCTGTGACTTTGTTTCCAGCCTTGAGAGGCTCAGCTCCAATCCAGCAGATGTGCTGAGGATCAGAACCATCACACCTGGCCCAGAGGGGAGGAAGCACAACCAGGTCACTCATCCCCAGGTAACTCATGTTTGGGTTTTGCACCATGGTGTACAAGGAAATCAACTGCCTAGAAATAGGAACAGGGAGAAAGTAAGATGCCAGCAAATAACAATATATTAATGTAGAGTGAAGATTCTAAAATTATAATTGAATATTACATTTTAAGCTAATTAAAGGAATACATTAGTTAGGTAAACCACATTTTGGTACCACGCATTGGTATTTAAATAAAACCAAAGGTGCAAACCAGATTTTTGAGGCTTATTTTAACAGGAGCTTTACCAAAAAAATAAGCATTGTAGTCTCAGTGAGGATGTTTTGCTCATCTACACCCAATGAATCCCATTAACCCAACAACTCAGCTTACAAGTGCTTTTCCAATGCCTGAATTTTAGCTTTTTTTTTTTTTTAACACTTTTAGCCATTAAAAGTAGGAAGGCCCTTTTGCAGGATGGAAAAGAGTCACAACTCCTCATAAACTAATGAATAATTTTATTTAGGGCATTGAAGATACAGGTTCTGAATATCAGAAAAAGACACAAAATTACAAAAGAAAATTCCCTCAAAATGGGAGGGAAAGCTTTTACACTTACTTTGCTCTTCCAACAGAAAGTGCCAGGGCTCCAGGATTCTCCTTTGGCGAAACCTCAGGGGCATAAACAGCATCACCTGTTCTTGATTCCTCCAGGGAGTCACTTTCTTCATTGTGTGTCTTTAAGAAGAGAAATGTGCATGTAAGTCAAAAACTGCAAGGTGTGTGAAAAAGATCTGCTGGGAATTCAAAAGTCTGGGTTACATTTAACATCTATCATGCACACTTACAGCTTTCTGCAAAATATACATTGCACTGCTTCCATTCCAAAACTTTTCAACGGGATTTTTGCAACTGCCACCAACCAATGAGATCTCTACGTCAGTCTGCAAAATAAAAAAATCAACACTCTTTAATATACTCTATAGAGACGTTGCATTTCAGCTTCTTTTTTTTTTAATACTAGAAGTTGCAAAATTATATAATTCCACAGACTGATTTCCAGTCCTATTGCATCCATTTATGACCCACTTGAAGCCTTCCTGCAGTACGTGAAGGGAGCCTGTAGGAAAGATGGAGAAAGACCATTTAAGAGGATGGAGTGACAGGACAAGGTGGACCAGCTTCACACTGACAGAGTAGTTTAGATCGGAAATTAGGAAGAAATCCTTCTTGTGAGGGTAGAGAGGCCCCGGCACAGGTTGCCCAGAGAAGCTGTGGCTGCCCCTGGATCCCTGGGAGTGTCCAAGGCCAGGTTGGACAGGGCTTGGAGCAGCCTGGAATGGTGGAAAGTGCTCCTGCCCATGGCAGGGAGTGGGATGGGATGATCTTCAAGCTCCCTTCCAACCCAAACCGGTCTATGATTTTACCTCGTAGAGATAGGGATGTTCGGGGATACTGTCCTTTCCTTCTTCACGTATCCTGAAAGAAAAGAAAACGTTGAGATACATGACCTTTCCCCTCAGCATTCTTAATTCAACAGCAACATCACCCACATACATTAAACATTCTAAGGCTGCAACCGGAGCCTCAGCAGCCTCCACACAAGCGGGGCCAGACCTCCCTCAGCAAAGCAGCGGAGACCCCAGGCAGTGACCACGATCCCCACAGGAGCAGGAGCCCGGACAGCCCCGGGAACAGCCCTGATCTCCACAGGAGCAGGAGCTCGGACAGCCCCGATCCTCACCGGAGCAGAAGCTCGCCCAGGCCGCCGCCAGCCCGGCGCCGCCGCTCCGCCGCCATCGCCGCCCGCCACAATCGAACCTCCCGCTCGCCGGCGCTACGCGATTCCTGTGAGGGGAGGGTAACGCGTCACGCTGGATCCCTCCGCCAGAACAGAGTCCCCTGGTTTGGCGGGGAGCTGAGCGGGACAGAGACGCCCGAAGGGCTCGGGATGGACGCGAAGGGGCAGAAGAACCTTGGATGGAGACCGGGACCGGGACTGGAGCTCGGTCCCGAACTTGGGCCGGATTTAAGGGTTGACCGCCCGGCGCGGCAGAAGCGGCGGTCAAGAGGCGGAGGCACATCCACGTAGTGACGGCACAGTGACGAGTCCTTCCTTTTCCGGTCGGGGCGCGGCGCAGGCGGGCGGCCGCACGAGCAGCTCCGCCGCCATGGTGAGGAGAGCGCCGGGCCCGGCCCGGGGCAGCGGCGGGCCGGAGGGGAGCGGGGCGGGCAGCGGAACCAGCCTGGGGGAGCCGAGCCCAGCGGGTAGGGCCGAGCTACGGGCAGCTCGGGGGCCGCGCTGGCGGCGTGGGGAGCGCGGCCGCCATTTTGGGCCCGTCAGGGCTCGGCGGCCGCGTGGAGCCCGTGAGTGACCGAGCGGGGCCGGGCCGGGCTGGGGAGGCCGCGGGCGGGAGCTCGGCGTGGTGCGCCCAAATTCCTCCTTTCCATGGGTATGGAAGGGATGGAATAGATTTCCATCGCCATCTGGCAGCCCTTTGTAGTTTCCTCATGTATTTATCTAAAGCAAAACAGGCCCCACGGGAGCGTTTGCGCCCCTGTAGAGTGGGAGGAACGGCTTTTATATATGTGTTTTATTAACTATTATTATTTATTAACTAACCTATTTTTGTTGCAAAACAGGCTTTAAGAGGTTTTAGTCTAGAATCAAGTTGCAAGTGAACAACTTTTCTTGCCAGTGCAGCTCGGATTGTGCTCTGATGCCTTCGCTCTGCTCAAGTTTGTTGTTTGTATTGGGGTCTCTGGGTTAACACCAGGGGCCCGAGCCTTGCTGCTGATCAGTGTCACATGCAGTGATGGCTCTTCTATTGCTATTAGCTGATTAATTTGGCGTTCTCGAGTATTTTAATACCCCTAAAATGAGCTGATGGTGGGAAAGAGAAGGAAGATGCTTTGCCTGTACTGTTACTAGGAGGTTAATTAATAAGCAATACAATATAATGCTAATAGATTTGTTTTTAAAGGATGCTGTTCATTCTCTGGCTATTTCTGGGCATCCTTTCAGCCTTTTGACAGGCAGCTGGTGCTGAGAGCAGCTTAATTTTCCACTGCACAAATTTTAAAGCACCAAAGATTATTCAGAAGGTCTAGACTAACCTCTGGCACTATTTGATGAGCTGCAGTCATTGCAGTAGAGAAGTTGGTTACAGCATTTCCAAATTCAAGTTGCCTGGTTAACACGGGTGAGTTTTTTTTAATAGTAAAGGGGAAGTAGTTTTGAAGGGGTTTGTTATAGAGCCCAAAGGCTGAACTGTAGAAATGCCTTGGAAATCGAGGTGTAGTTTTCTGGGCATGAGTTGTGGAGCATAACTTCGAGTGAAATATTGCTGTGATGACGTAATTTGCGTCTTATCCAGTGCTCAGCGACAGTTGCCTGCTGTCACCGTGCTGGCACTGCTGAGCTGACGACTCCTTCCTTCTGAGCAACACTTGAAGAGTTACAAAAAAAACACCACAAATTCCCTTTAGGAAAAAATTCACTTTGCTACTCACGGCTCTGTGCTTCCCCAGGCTTGCGCTCGGCCGCTGATCTCCGTGTACTCCGAGAAGGGGGAGGCGTCGGGGAAGAACGTGACTCTGCCCGCGGTGTTCAAGGCGCCCATCCGGCCCGACGTGGTGAACTTCGTGCACACCAACCTGCGCAAGAACAACCGGCAGCCCTACGCCGTCAGCGAGCTCGCAGGTACTGCAGCCGAGAAAGAAAGAAAGAAAAATGTGAATAATAACGCTGGAGTCGGGGTACAAGTGGTCATCAGTGGGGTTTTGAACTTTTCTGTGGAAAACACTGCTTTTGAGCTGAAGCCGTAAAAAAAAAAAAAATCCGAAATTAAGTAATAAAATTAAGATCGCAAGTGTCTAGCTTGAATAAAAGTGTGTGTTTTCCACCTGGTGAAAAATTTAAAATTTAGTCTTAAAGTAGAGCAATATATAATATATAGCAATATAATATACACAGCAATATAAAAAATAGATCGCAAGTATCTAGTTTGAAGAAAAGTGTATAATAGGACACGGTGAAAAATTTAAAGTCTTAAAATAAAGCAATATAAAAAAATAGATCACAAGTATCTAGTTTGAAGAAAACTGTATAATATCACATGGTTAAAAAGTTCAACATTTAAAGTCTTGAAATAGAATAATATGTAAAAAACAAAGTAAAAGTTTTAAAACTAAGGTTTCTTCTTTACCTTCATGAGTCTAAATAGTACTTTTGTAATTAAATAGAAAAGTGCATTGCGAATCACAAGTAATTAGTTATCAAGTTACAAATAAAATTAATTTAAGTAACATTTCTTAATTAAACTATTTGGCCTTAAAAGACCTTGTAAAAAATACATCTCCATTTTTAACTTATTAACTAGAAGTACTATAAAACCCATTATAACATAAATAAAAATGAGTAAACATCTAAGTCCAAACAACAGATACTACCCTTACACATTCAATCCCAGCCTTAAAAAAAACAAACAAACAAAAAACAATTAAAACACAGTTAACAGCCTGGTTTTAAGTGGTTTGAAATGCAGCATTTTTATTATTTCTGAGGAGCATCCAGGTGGTGTTTTGGGGTGCTTGAAATGCACTTTGCTGGAAATATCACAGAGCCAGGGTCCTCAGGTGGAAGTGTCATTCTATGCAGGAAAAACATCAAACGGCTGAAAGTGTTCCAGGTGAAAATCCCTGCTCCACGTTGACCTCGTGAGATTGAGGGATTCACCAAGGAAAAACTGCAAATGGGCATTTGCTTGATTTACTTCTATTATTGGTGTAGTAACTTCTGCTTCCCAGGAAGTCTGTGCTAGGAACGTGCCTTCTTAACCTTATTTCTAAGTTTCACACAAACATTTTAACAAAAAATCATGGTAGGTATAGCAGTGCCAAGTCAGGCCTCCAGATAGAGGAAAATAATAAATAATAAGTGTCTTAAAAATCTTAGATGAGAATCAAGTGCATTTTTTAGACTACGATTAAGTTTTCGTGATGGAGATTCGTTATGCCGAAATGATGAGATTCCACTTCATTGGTCCGTGTTTCTGAAACACATGATTGTGTGGAAGTTCTGATTGGTGCCCTGAGTTGAGCATCCCTGTGGCTGTGGGAGCACCACGGGGATGTCACTCTCTGCCTGAGATGTCACTCTCTGCATGCCCCTCTCTCTGTTGCAGGTCACCAGACCAGTGCTGAATCATGGGGTACCGGCAGAGCTGTTGCTCGAATCCCGCGAGTCCGGGGTGGTGGCACTCACCGCTCTGGCCAGGGTGCCTTTGGCAATGTATCCTTTCATGGCAGTGCTGGCTTCAGGGGCACGGAATTCAGCCAGCAGAAAAGCTTTTAATACCTAAATGTGAGATGGAGTCTTTTTCTTGAGGTAATGGCTGCAGCTCAGACTCCATGTGACTCCCGCTCTCAAACCACCATGACCCGTTCTGTCTTGCCATGATGTCGTAATTTGCGCCTTACCCTGTGCCCAGGGACAGTTGCCTGCTGTCAAAATCCTGGCACAGGTGGTTGACGACCCATTAATGCTGAGCAAGCAATAAAAAAGTCACTTTGGGATAAGAAAACTCCAAAAAGTTGTTCTTAACTGCAGCTCCCAGATGTGTCGTGGCGGCCGCATGTTCGCCCCGACCAAGACCTGGCGGCGCTGGCACCGCAGAGTGAACATCATGCAGAAGCGTTATGCCATCTGCTCTGCTCTGGCTGCCTCTGCCCTCCCAGCTCTGGTCATGTCTAAAGGTGAGAATTCTGTCTCTGGAATTGTTTGTCTGAGCCAGCGTTGGGTACTTTGTGGTGACTTAAATGGAGTTTTGCATTTCTGTTGATGGAGGCAGAGATTTACTCAGCACTCAGGTACACAAAGTCCTGTGTGAGACAGGCCTGTAAGACAACACTGGAACTTCACTGCTCTGGTTACTGTGCCTGACTTCATTTCATGAATTTCTGTCATGAATTTAATTTATCATGTATCATTTATGAATATACAAAGCAATAACTTTAAGGAATGGGTCCAACCAAGGTTAGTGAGCAACACTGAGTGTCCTGTGAAATCCTCTCTAGGCCACCGCATTGAGGAGATTCCAGAACTTCCTCTGGTTGTTGAGGACAAGGTTGAGGGCTACAAGAAAACCAAGGAAGCTGTTCTCCTCCTGAAGAAGCTTAAAGCTTGGAATGACATCAAAAAGGTGAGCTGGGGAGGTGATTCAACACAGGTGATTCAACTCTGCAGTTATCAGAGTAGGAATTCCAACTAGTTCTGCATTTTGACTCTGGGGAATGATGAACTTCTCACTGGTCCGTGTTGCAGATCCACAGTGATGATGGTGAAGTTCTGACTGCAGCAGAGTGTTGGGTCTGCCTGGTGGGCTGGGGACTGTGTGGATATTCATGTTGTGCTTTTCCCAGGTGGGCTGGGGGCTGTGGGGATATTCATGTTGTGCTTTTCCCAGGTTTACGCCTCCCAGCGCATGCGGGCTGGGAAGGGCAAGATGAGGAATCGCCGCCGCATCCAGCGCAGGGGACCCTGCATCATCTACAACGAGGACAACGGCATCATCAGAGCTTTCCGGAACATCCCAGGTAATGAACCTGGCACACACTCTCTTCTGCTGGGAGACTGCCTGGAATGATGAGATTCCACTTCATTGGTCCGTGTTTCTGAAACACATGATTGAGTGGAAGTTCTGACTTGCTGCAGTAGTTGATATGTTCTTTGTAAGAACCTATTGGGGTGATCTTTAGGGTGTCTGTGACCAATGCTGTAGTTGTTTCCAACTGAGGCTGCTGAGTTTGCTACTGAAAAAAGGCTGATGCTGATTATTATTAATTGAAAAATACAATAGAATTTTCATACAGAGATGCGTGTAGCTCCGTAGTGTCAAAGCCAAAAACCCCCAATCTCTGCATTTTATCTATTGCTTAGCCACACTTTCCTCGATTTTAATTCCAAACTGAAGGGATTGCTTTGCCTGGTTTGCTGCAGGAATCACTCTGCTGAACGTGAACAAGCTGAACCTGCTGCGCCTGGCTCCCGGCGGCCACGTGGGGCGTTTCTGCATCTGGACAGAGAGCGCCTTCCGCAAGCTGGACGATCTGTACGGCACCTGGCGCAAGGCTGCCACGCTCAAGAGCGACTACAAGTGAGTGCAGCCACGGTGGGAGAGTATCCCCCCTTTTTTCCCAGGAATAGGGGTACTGGGATTTGCTCCTGAATGCCTCGGTATGGTGAATTAGCCATGGTTTTATCACCCACTCACGTTCTGAACGTTGGTTTCACAGCCTGCCAATGCACAAGATGACCAATACAGATATTGGAAGAATCATGAGAAGCCAAGAAATCCAGAAGGCCCTGCGTGCTCCAAAGTGAGTGATTTTATTTAATGAACAAAGACTTTGCAGGGAGGTTTGAAATCTGTTTCAGGCTGGGATTTTTTTAATTTCTGGGTATAAACACAAGGAATTGCAGTTGTTCAGATTTCAGGGATAATTCAGCAGAACTGGCATTGTGAAATGAGATAATACAAACATGGCTGTGCTTTTCAGGAAGAAGATTCAGCGCAGAGTCCTGAAGAAGAACCCGCTGAAGAACCTGAGAATCATGATCAAGTTGAACCCGTACGCCAAAACCATGCGGCGCAACACCATCCTGCGGCACGCCCAGAACGTGAGTGGGGCTCTGACTGCCGGGGCTGGGGCTCCTGCTTCACTTGCCCTCACTGATCATCTCTCTGTCTTTTCAGCACAAACTCAAGGAAGAGAAGAAAGCCAAGGCCCAAGCCAAGTTGGCAGCCAAGGCCCCGGCTGCCCCCAAGGCAGAGCCCCCTGCCAAGAAAGCCAAGACAACCAAGGCAGCCAAGCCCGCGGCAAAGGGCAAGGCTGAGGCGGCGAAGGGCAAGGCTGAGGCGTAACCGCGGCCGTGCCGCCCCGCGGGGGCTGTGCCCGGGTCTGTCCCGAATAAACGCTGTTGGAACCCAGAAACCCGGGTGGGGTGTGCGTGTCTGAGCAGGCGTTCGAACGGGAACTTCCGGGGAGGGGAGGGAGAGAGGGAGAGGTGGCTGAGCCCGCGGGAGCCGGGATCGCTGTTCGCGCTGTTCCCGCTGCGAGGGAGCCAGGCGTGGCCTTGCGGTGTGAGGGCTGTGGGTGCTGTGCCCGGCCGTAGCCCCACGGTAGACACAGGCGCTGTGACCAGAAGCGGCTGCACGTGCGGTGGCCGATGGTGGCCACGCGGTGGCCGTGGGTGTTCTCACCGGCGGATGCTGTGACCAGAAGTGGCCGCGCGGTGGCGGTCGCCGCGCGCCGCTGTCGCGGTGTGACGTCACGCTGTCGGCCGGTGACGTAACGGGGCGTGGCGCGGCGGTTCCGCCCCGGCGGCGGGGACGATGCTGAGCCGGCTGCAGGAGCTGCGCAGGGAGGAGGAGACGCTGCTGCGGGTCAAGGCGGCGCTGCACGATCAGCTCCGGCGGCTGCGGGTGCGCGGGGACAGCGCGGGCCGTGGGGCCGGCCCTGGGCACGGGAACGGGAACGGGAGCGGCGGGGCCGGGCCGGGCCGGGCCGAGCTGGGCCTGCCCCTCAGCCCCGCTCCGCCACAGGACCGGCCGGGTTTGGTGCTGGAAAAGGGAGAGCAGGGAACTGGTGCGGGGTTTGGGGTGCTCTGTGAAAGGGGGATCCCGCTGCGGTGCTCCGAGAGCTAAATGGGGTTTTGTGCAGGGGACATCTCAAACGGGTAAATGTAATCGCGAGTGTGTGTAGGGCCCATCTGTCAGAGGTACCTGTAGTTGTATGTGTGCATTAAGAGAGAAATGCGAGTGTACACAGGATACTTCTCTGAAAGGTAAATGTGAGTGTGAGTGTATGTAGGATATATCTAAGAAGTAAATGTGAGTGTAGGTAAAATACATTAAGAGATAAATGTAATTGTGAATGTACATAGAATACATCTCTATGAGGTAAATGTGAGCGTATTTAAGATACATGAAGAAAAATATGAATATGTAGGCTACATCTCTAAGAGACTGAGTGTATATAAGATACATTAAGCAATAAATATAATTGTAAATGTACATAGGATACATCTCTAGGAGGTAAATGTGAGTTTATGTAAGATACATTAAGAGATGAATGTGAGTATATAAGCTACATCTCCAAGAGATAAAGTGAGTGTATATAAGATACATTAAGCAATAAATGTAATTGTGAATGTAAATAGGATACATCTCTAAAAGGTAAATGTGAGTGTATGTAGGACACATTAAGAGGTAAATGTGAGTGTATGGTTTGCCCTAGCTGATGGCTGGAAAAGGAATAGTTTGAGGTAGGGGAACTGAGGACTACTTAGGTTTAGAGACTCAGGCATATTACAATGAAGGAGCTTAGAATTGTAGAAGATTGAACAATTTTTTTCCAAGACTGACAGGTAAAAAGCCCAAAATGGTGAGTCAGGAACGTTAAGCAGTATCAGGCAGGTCGGGTTGGCAGCAGTGATGTGCTCATGAGTGCCAGCAGCTCCTGTGGCTCCTGCAGGTGGAGGAGCTGGCACTGCAGTCCATGATCGGGGCCAGCGAGGAGAAGGTCCCTGTGCCCCTGCCAGCCCTGGCCGAGGACATTCAGCAGGTAAGGGGGTCCCTGGGGTCAGAGGGGGTCCCTGGGGTGGGAGGTGCCAGCACGAGCAGAGCTGGCTCTGCTGTGTCACCTCACTGATGCTGCTCATCCCTGCAAAGCTCACCTGTAAAATGTGTTTTGCTGCTGGTTTGTTCCAAGGGTTTCAGCTTTTGCCATCCCCAAAAGCAGCACTGTGTTTCCAGGGGGACTGGGAAATAGCTGTGTGGTATTACAGCTCCAGTTCACCATTTATTAAATATTTTAATACTTTGAGGCACATGTGCTGCAGCTTTTCACTCAATACCTGGCCAGCCTGAGCCAGCTGCAGCTTTTCCATGGAGATCAGGGCCTTGTTGCTGTCATGGGCTCTCAGATCTTTAATTAACAGCTCTAACAATGATTTGAGAAGTGTTTGGTGTCTGTGCTGCGTTTGGTAATCAGCCCTTTTCTCTCGGGCAGATGGACAACGAGGCTGCCATCAATCAAACTGAGTTACACCTTAGTCTTCAGAATGATAAAGAAGAGGAAGAGGAAGAGGAGGAATCTGATTCTTGAGAGAAAATCAGAGATGGTTTTTCATACAGACTCAGGAAATTCTTCTTCATTCATCTGAAACTCACCAAGTGATTTCCATTTTGTGCTGTGTGTGGATATGAACTATTTGATATATCAGAGTCAGGGCAGTGACACTGAACACGTGAATTTCACAGACTTGGCACATCTTGACTCAGATGTTGAAAGAATAAAAATCTGCTGCACAAATGTAGCAAAATCCATTCCACATTTCAAACCTAATGTAGCTCTTACAACATCTTTGTATGTGGAAGGGAGAAGTAATTGATCAACCAGACTAATTAACACATGCACTAAAAGCAATAACTTGTCTGTTCTCACTTCCTGGTGTGAGAAACAAATCCAGGTCCTGGAGGCTGGTGCTGCCCCAGTGATTACATTATAACCTCATTTGCCTAAACTGGGAATTTAAGATACAGGGTGAGAAAAGATGTGTCCAGGGCTGTCTCCAGCCTTCAGCTGCTGTGTTCTCAGTTCCATGGAAAGCTGGAGTTACTCCCAGAGTCCTCCCAGTGTCAGCCCAATTCTGAGCACAGCAGGGAGGTTTCTCTGTCCCCCTGGTGCTCTTCAGTTCTGTCAGTCTGTCCCAGAGGACTTTCTACTTCTGCTCCTTCAGAGCAGCAGCCAAGGAGCCTTTAATTTGTCCACAAATTGTAGAGCAAGAAATGATCTGTGGTGCTTGTAACAAACTAATACTCTTAAATTGGTGTTATTTTCTTCTCTCATTGTAACCTCATAAATCAAGGCAAGGGCACCTGCCTTCATGTGATTCTCGAGGAGGAGCATGAGGAATTTATAAACTTGATTATAAATGGAAAGTGATGTGAAATCTCCACAATTTTTGCATTTGGAAAAGTGTCTGGTATCCTGGGGGTGGTCACAACTGACATTCAGCCTCCAGTGAATTCCTGCCACTGTTTAATGAGTGTTAATTTGGCTCTTGTTTGGTTTGTACCAATGGAAACTGCTGGGATATAAATGTGGCTTCATCCTGTACTAAAGACTATTTGGGTTTTGAGGATCCTAGATGTCTTAAAGGAAGGAATTTGGAACAGGAGTGAAGAAGAGAGTAAAAAAAAACCCAAAAGTCTAAGCCAAAAATGTTCTGGTCAGATAAGCCCTTGCAGTGATGTGTGTGAAGAGCTGGTTTGGGAGGAGCTTAGGAGCCAGCCTGGCCTTTCTTGGCACATTTCAACACCAAAAGGTAATTTTAAGCGTTGAAAAATGTTATTTGTGCCCAGCATGGTCCAGGGTAGTTTTCATGGATAGAATTGCTGCTGTTTTTGTGAATGAATCCCTTGCTTTTGGATTTGAACAGCCCAGTTCAAGTGCATGTTGCAATAAAGTTCTTTTCCTGTCCTTACACACAACTTGCAGTGCCCAAATCATTGCTGCATTGTCTGGGGGAACAACCCAAAGTGGGAGTTCAGCCTCTCCAACCTTGCTGTGTGGTTCTTCTAGCAAACAGTAAAAAAGGCTCTGGTGTGGTTCTGTTTGCTGGGTGTAGGTAAAGCTCAGGCAAGGGTTTAATTTCCACCCTCCCAGCTGTCACTTCAGCTCTCATTCCTGCCAGGACAGGCTGGAGGAAGCCCTGGATGTGTCAATGAGTCATTTCCTGCTCCAGGCTGTGCCAGCCCTTTGATACCCGATCCTTTGGCCATGTGGAAGTTCATGTCCCGCTGATGGGGATTCCTTTTGGGGAAGAATTTCAGGCATTTCCTCATCCAAAGCATCCTTTGAAGCAGCTGAAATTTATAGTGTAATGACCAGATTAAAGCCTCGGTCAAGTTGTAAAAAAAGCTTCAAGAAGTTACTTGATAATATATTTATTAAGAGAACCCATTGCTAAACATCTGAGAGAATAAAACAATAAAGGATTTTCATACACTTTTAGACACTAAACACAGTTGTCATGACTCTTTAGGTTAAAAGAAAGCAAAGTGCTTGGATCATTGTCTCGATTCCATAGGACACTTCCAAGAACTAACTTTTAAAAATCAATTAGAAAGACATACATCACTAAATCCAAGGATGATGATATGTTCGAAAAATAAATATAGAAATATGAACAAGTCTACAATTAGAATATCGCCCTGTGCATTCCAAGAAATGCAGAGCTCTTGCCTTCTTCACCTGCAAAGAGAGAGATCTCTAGACAACAGCAAAATTGGAGCCTAACTTTTGGGAACAGCTGGGCAGCAGCAAAGCATGCTCACAGACAGGCTCGGAGCATCCCGATCCCGAGCCCGGGGAGCTCAGGGAAAGCATGATTGAAGTACCAACGATTTACAAAGAGTCTTGATAAAGTTCAAACAAGCCAGGGGCCAACCCCCAAGCCCCAGTGATATTTTCATTAAGAAAGAATATCCATAATCACCTAAAATCAGCAAGCACTGGAACTTACACAGCTTACATTTGGTCAGTGAACGACGGAACCCGGTACGATACCAATTAGTTTAGGACGAGATTTAAAACCGTTTTGGCACATGCTATCAAGACATTCTTCCTTAAGAGGTGAAATACATGTTTGAACAGGTACAAGCTGAGGAGAGAGGACCAGGAGAGCGTGGTTGTCACCAGAGGTACAGTCCAGGAGCTGCCCCCGGGGCTCAGACGCCGGCGGCGTGCGTGGGGGTGCTGGGCTGGTTAAGGCCGATGGTGGAGCAGAGCCACCCCGCAAAATCCACCTCCTCTGCCTCGGATCTCTTGATGAAAGCATGGATCTGAGCACAGGAGAACAGGGTCAGTGTGCCAGCTCTCAGACTGCTCAAGGAACAGCCCTCAGGAGCACCCAGTACCATAAATCCACTAGGAAAATCAAGCTGTAAAACTTTACAAACCACGTGGAGACTGTAAAAGTATGTGGTGGTTTATAAAAGTTTTTTTGAAATTTTTGACACTACGAAGTGTAAAAACCACGTGGAGAGTTTTGCACAGAATTGCAGAACACCCAACACGTGGCCAAGTGTCCCAGAGGAATCCTGGAATATCCTGCCACAGTGCCTGCTGCAGAGCACTTGCACCACATAAATGATAAGGATGTGACTCAGCCACTCGAGGTAATACTCTGGAAAATGTCTGCCTGGGCACTAAAAGGCTTTTTTTTTGTAATTAAAAGAGTCTCTTTGCATTTTGCACCATTATTGTGCAGCAGGGTCAGGGCAGGGAAAACCTGATTTTCTGCAGTACAACTGAAGTCCTGGCATTGCACTTAAAACTATGAAAAGATGCACTGAGACTGATATGGTTATTTCACACAGGGAAAAATGCAGCATTTGTGTTGAGTTCTACAGATTTTTGCAAGACAAAGCTGGTAAAAAAGTGACAAATTCTGTGTTTTACAAAGATGATTAAAAATGTATTTAATTAGTCTGTATGCTATGTGGAGCTTTGTTCTTTTGTCCTCCTAGAAGTATTAATCAATACTTATTATTAACTAACAAACTCAAGAAAGAATTCTTTTGTTAATTAAGTCACCAATTGTGATTATCAAATGGCAGACTCCACAACCCACCAGAGTTTTGGATTCCTTGCTAGTCCCTGTTGTAGGAGGGTGTGAAAGCTGCAGCCCCTTGATCTCTAGCTCAGAAAAGCTGTTCCTCCTCAAGCTGAGCTGCTCAGGAGCCTCCAGCCACCCTCAAGGCCCCGTGCTCTGATCTGCTCTGGGCCAGCTGAGGAAGCCAACCTGCCTGGGAAAGGGCTCTCAGATCAAATTAAAAACCTTTCACTTACCATCAGCTGCTTCAAGTCGGCTCTCTCAGCAGGATTTTTAATTAAACTAGGAAAACACAAAGTGATGCACAAGTTACACTCTGTTATGTTTTAAAATAAAGCTGGAGTTGTGTCCTGTTGGTTGTACTGCTCTGGTCTGATGACACCACTCCATAAAAGCATCAGGTGCCTCTCAGGCAGAGATGGGAGCCTGCAATTCCCTTCTGTGGCTTCCACAGCTCCAGGTAAGAAATCCTGAGGTGTCTGACACTGATGAGTGTCTAAACCAAGTGGGGAAATAAATCCCATTTCAACTAAAGCAACATGAACCATGTGTCTTTGTCCCAAGTCTCTTCAAGCTCAGTATCAAGTAGAGCTATTGCATGACTGTCCTTCCTTTTGGAAGCTGTAAATACAGATATTTGATAAATAAATCAACTGTTGAACTGCAGTGAGCTGCCTCCCTTAGCACTGGTTCAGTGCTGGCATCACTGAGGAGCAACTGGGGAAGTGAAGAGATGGGGGAATGGCTGCTGGGATAAAGGTGTTGGTTCATGGGCAAGAGAAAACATCTGGAGCCTGCAAGATTCAGCAGCCATGGCACAGGCACTGCAGGATGATGTGCCTGAGCCTGGCAGAAGCTGTCTGTGCTCTGGGTCACTCCCTGAGGCTGGGAAAGGACTGCTCTGAGCTGCACACAGCAGCAGAAATTCAGTGTCAAAGAGGGGAATCTCCCTGAGCCTTGGGGTTCCTCTGCATGCACGTGTTGCCTGTGAGATGAACTTTAGGCAATTAACACCCAAAGAGGATTTTGCTGATTGCAATCCTCACATTTGGCCTGGCCTGGAGCAGGGACTGTGATTGCCAAGTGCCTGACAGACAAAGCAGGGCTGAGCCCAGCGTGTCCCTCTGCCACTCAGCCACAAAGAAAATACAGAGAAAATACTCACCATTTGTTAACAAAATCTTGAAATTCAGAACCAAAGACACCATTGGGCAGTTTTGGAGGTGGCTGTAAATAAATAAATAAATAAAATTTTAAAATCAGCAATCATTCAGCATAACTAATATATGATGATGCACAACCTGCCCAGGGATCTGCATGTCCCACATCTGAGTAAAGCTGGAAAACTCTGCCTGAATTGGGTTATTACTCCCAGCTGCAGGACTTCAGGTGTTTCAGTCATAAATCAGACTTTCCCTGGTATGGGGTGGGTTTTGCTTGGTTGGCTGTTCTATTTTCTCCACACACACCTGAATGAGGTGAGCACAGGCTCAGCTCTCATTAAAGAAGGCTCAGAGCACTAATTAGCACCTGTCATTCTCCACACTGCTGAGGGAAGATGCCCTGCACATCATTAGTTCCATAATCCTTCTGCTGTAAATTTTCTGTCCCTGGCAATGAGTTTGTTCAGACTCTGAATTCAGAGAGAATTCTGACAAATAAAGAAGGGAGATAAACCTGCATAAACTGCACGTTATTGCCTTGTCCTCCAGGGCTTTGCCACAGGATCAGGGTTAAAGTTTCCATCCTTGCTCTGAGTTACCTCAATGCACAGAGCAGAGACAGGGCCTGCACTCCTCCCTGCACAGCCTGCCTTGGAGAGAGCAGCTCCTGCTGAAGAGGTTTGTGCTAAATCAGAGGTGGCACAAGATCATCTTGTCAAACTCTCAACTACTGCAGTTTTCAGCCCAAATTGACCCCTCTTGATGCTGCAAGAGCTGCAGGACCACAGCAGCTGAAGGAATTCAATGCTATCTCTATTCCCAGAGATAGTGCTGGCAGATTGGGGTGTTATATAATATGCAAAACAGATTTGTAATCTGAGAGAACTGAGCAAGCAGATGAGTTACAGAAGCAATTTATCAATTTATCAGTGGCACAGGCAATGCAGGGACCCAGACACCAACTGTGCCTTTTAAATGGGTGAGTTGGACAGTTTTCAATAATTCATCCAGCTGGAAGAATTGCTATCCAGCTGCCACAAATGA